CACGCACAGAATTTTCAAGTCCTGGTCAACACTCTGTCCAGGTAATCTGTCTGCATAAAAAACTCATTTCTAAGTTTTCTACTGCTGAAAGTTATGAACAAGGGGATTTTTCAGAGATGACTGATGCATCTTTGTACCAACACACTATCTTAAGTCTGCAACAACCTTTGCAATCATAAGCAGGTGAAGTCACTGACATCAAAACCACTGAGAGCAACATCTTCCTAGAGCATGAAGAAAAATACTGCCAAGCAAATCAGTCTGGGAGTGGCAACATTACAGAGTGGATTAGCTCTGGAGCTGTGCAAGGACACGGGAATCTCTCCTAGGATACTGGGAAGAAACATAGCCCAAGGTAAGACTGAGCCCTCTGCGAGCTGAGCCCCAGCAGGCCCAGGCTGTGATTTGACAGATGGTGGGTAAGCACAGACCCAGCTCAGAAGGGAAAGGGAACCTCACCAAACATCCCTGCTAGATGGAGAATGGTTGGAGGAGAGAGGAACTTCGATGGAAGATACATCCAGCACGCCTCTGGCTATTTGCATAATTTAGAAATAGCCCAAAGTAAATATTTACAGCCAGCGGTCCTGCACAGGTCACAACTTTTATCTGGGCCAGTTTCAGTCGAGGGGGAAGGTACCACGTCCAGTTAACAACCTGACACCCAAAACACTGATTCAGATTTGACTAAAAAACACAAATGACTTGAAGAGTTCAGGAGTGGCATCCAGGAAACGTTTGTTTGCATTATGAAACCACTGTCTGGGTACAAGTCTGTTCTCGAGATGGTTCTGTGCTGCCCTGCACCTGCACGGGGAACAGAACCCTTCCAGCTCCAACAATTGTTACAATCCTACAGGTAAGCATTTACACACACTGCAACTGCAAATAGTATTTGCAATCCTGCAAGAAAACCTCCATTCAAATCATTTTGTAGGCAATTATAAAGGAAGAGGAATAAGGCATTTCACCGAAACTTTGGCTGAGAGCCTTGAATGAGTAAATTAAATGCCAATATTAAGATCGTAATACAGAAAAAAATAGACGATATTGCTCAGAAGATGATTTTCAGTTGCTTTCATGCATTTCACAGTAGCAGGAGCAGAGGCAGCTCTCCCTCCCTGTGAGCATCCCTCATTCATTCTGTAACTGAGAAATGAAATAAAACTCTAAAGGTGAAGTTACAGAGGCACAAGAACTGGGGAAGGGACTCGAGGGGGGAAACTGAGAGGAGCTTTAGAGTCTGTCCCTACTTTCACCACAGGTTTTGAGAGCATTTTGCAGATCCTTTTTGATCACAGTGAAAAAAGTGTCTGCACAGAAGAAGCAACTAAAATGAGTGATTATAGGAGACAAACTGTATTTAAAATAAAACAGCAGCAGCACAATGCAGAAAAGTGAATATTCTCTGGCTCTGTGTTCACAATTTCAGTCTGAGGAGTTACTTTAATTGATTCATGCAATGATTAACAAGCTAGAGAGAAGTAACACTTTTGGAAGCAAACACTCATAACATCCTCTCCACATGGTAAAAAATGCACATGGTAACTCTTAGAAAGAAGATTCCAAAAGACTGCTCTCCCCCATGTTTCAGCAATAAATTGAGTTATTTTAGTGACCAGTATCAAAGAGCACATTTCAAACAGGCAAATTATACTGCACATAAATCACAACACAACTTTTTTTTTCCCTCAGCAGCCTACATCCTATGTCACAAAGAAAAGCCACATCAAGAAAAAAATCAACCCTGCTTTGGCAAAAAGGGTCCCTGCTGTTGGCTTGTTCCCCCTGGACTCCGGAATTCTTGGGATAAGCACGAAGATCTTTCATCCCCCAACGCGAGACACCAGATTTCAGCTAAGCAGAGATTCACTTGGAATATCACCGACTTCCTTTCCAAATGTCAAGGTTGTTTAGTTAATCAGGAATAACAACACACTGCAGGATAAAATTCCAGTGCAAAACCGCACCAGATCCGCACAGGCCTCGTGTGCAGTGGCACAACTGTGTCCACTTACCCAGGCACTTGCACTGTGCCCACGGTCATCCCACTTATCACAACAGCCATGTGCTTTTTTAATAACAGCACTATTTTCTCCCTCTCAGATCATACTGTATAGGATAAAAATCCCCATCTGAGCTCTAACAGTTCATAATCGTAGTGCCATATCTAAAATTAATGCATAATACAATAATGCTGCCACAAAACCGAGTCTTTGGGACGAGACATCCCCGCTGTAATAAGCTTTGTAAGGTTACACCAATATTTAGAGCCAGGAAAAGGTACCACACTTGTTAAGACCGTATCTGTGAAACATGAAGAAGCAGGTTTTGGACAACAACAGATTGTTCAGACTATCTACTCGCTCACTTGAGCCCAACACTGACAGCTCACCCATCCACCTAGAACCTGGTCTAACTGCAACCAACTTGATATCCACAGGTTTGTTAAGCATAGGAAAAAATCAGCAAGTTCTTTACCATCAAGTCAGAACAATTCTAGCAAAAAGCCACTTCCATTGTGCCCCGCAGCAGCCCGGAGATGACAGAAGCCGGGGATGTTTACAGGTCCCATATGAATAATTCAGCGTCAGCATCAGCAACAACTCCCCAGCACTGACAGCGGCCGCGATGCTCCCCGGACACGGAGCAGTGGCCGCAGCACATCCTGGG